ATACTATATTATATCATATTTTATTATACTACATTATATTATACTATATTATATCATATTTTATTATACTACATTATATTATACTATATTATATCATATTTTATTATACTACATTATATTATACTATATTATATCATATTTTATTATACTACATTATATTATACTATATTATATTATATTATATTATATTATATTATGTGGATAAAAGAATTACCTATTTGGGCTAGAGAGCCAGCCACCAGGCTGAAAAGAACAAGAATTTGCATGATTGTACTTGAGTGAATTCTAGATTATTTCTAAAAGGAGAGACAATAAAGCTTATTGCTTTATATAGCTTTCAAAAATTTGCTTATCTGTTCATTTTCCCACACAAATAGTATCGACATTTATTCTTGATTTCAGTAGATTAAAAATAATATTTGCTACTTAAAAATTTTACAACTGATTTTTTTCTTTTAAAATATTTGTTAAAATTACAAGTACTTAAGTTACACAATTAGTGATTTAAAAAAATATATATATCATAAGTGCAGCAATTATCATACGAAGTATTAAAGCTCTCTCAATTTTTAAATCTTTGGGCAGATAAATTGTTGACAAATATTCAATTGCATATGATTTCTAGAAAATCATTTAAGTGTTTGTAGGATTGTAATTTTTAAAAATAAGTAACTTTTTGTAAAAATAGTAAATTTTGAACCAAAGTGTAGGTATAATTTGCATTTGGTATGGAATACACTTAGAATTAACAGAAGAAGTGTTTTTTTCTGGGTGAATTTTATTAAACAAATTTATAAATTTATCACATTTTGCTTAAAAAAATATATAATCGATTTTTAAAATTAATGTACAAACCTGAATAGGTTTATTGCAGTTAAATACCAATATATAGATATATAAACATTTTATAAACGTTAAATCTAAAAGTAAGTTGTAAATGCTTAAGCAATTGAACATGCAAACTTAATTAGGCCTTACTAAAGTTCTATGCATATAATAAATATGTTTTATAATAGCACTTTTAAATGTTAAAATTTTAGAAAATTCTATTGTAATTCTATTGTTTTAAAATAAATAAAATTTATTTAGATTATTTTTATTGAAATTATTTTTGCTATCTTTTATTGCTATATTCTGTTTGTAATTAGTAAAATCAATTTAAAATTTTTCGTATAAAATATGATATTTTTTTTTCAAATGTTTTCTGAAGTTATTGAAAACTAATTGATATATCTTAATTCTTCTCCCTATCTTATTTTATTTGTCCTTTAATACAATGTCACGCGTCTGACATTGATTTCCTTTTAATCTTATCTCCAGATGTTACATTCAAAAATTATTCTCGGGAAGAATTTTTGTGCTATCAGTTAAACTGAAATTAGTTCTTATTTAATGCCAAGATGTCATTTCCTATTCAAGGAACTTATGTACTCAATTTAAGATTGAGTACTTGAGTAAATTTTTGAATACTTGAATATGGAAATCATGTTGACTATAGAGCAGCCAGTGGACAGCTAATGATTTTCGAGAAGTACTAATTTCTAAAATAGTTATTCCTGCTAACTTGCTAGAATGTCGTTTCAGAAATTCAGGAAATTTATTGGAAACTTGAGCACTCGAATGAATATAAAATTAATTAGGGATGATATGGGAATCATTTTAACGATATCCTAACTAACAGAGCTGTCATTTGATCGCAAATAAATTTGGAAAGGCACTAATTCCAAAAATAATAGCTATTATTTCAGCTTACTTGTCTTTTGAGACTTTTCCTAACTTTCCTTTCCTTCAAAAACATTTAAAAAAATTTCTTTGTTTATGAGGCAGGAGACAACAACAAAAAATTGTTTGGGCTAATCTGTTGAAGTTATAAACATAAGCACAGACAGAGAGCAATTTTGTTTGCCGCATGGCATTTACTCAATTGTTGGTCATAATATTTAAAACGAACTGAATTATTTTTTTTATAAAAACAATTTAAAATTAAAACAAAATATATCTTTAAACTTAAGAATAATTTCCTGTATTCAAGACATTCCATGACATTTTTTTTACTCAAACAAGTAATGAAATTAAAAATTAAGAAAAAAAAAGCTATGAGCGATCATATTTTTATAAAAAATTTATATTTTCGCACATTTAACTCAGCATGATATTCTAAATAACTTTTTTGTTCATTCATATGAGAGCCCAACAATCCAAATAATCGTTCAAAAATTTCGATTTCTTTTTTTAAATGTTTTAAATTATTGTTACATATTTCATTTGTAAATTTAAATTTAGAATAATTTTAAGAATAATGTTTTTCTTATTTAGATGGGCTTTTCATTTACGTCACATTAGAGCTGCATAATGGGCTATTATCGACGGCCTGGAAAACATCCCTGTGGATAATCCGCGGACATGCCATAACAATTTTGATCCTCTGCAGAGGAGATGGCTTCGTCACTTTGGTAACCCGACGACCTGCAAGCGAAGTCAAGCACTTTACGGTAGAACAGTTTAACGAGGACCGATACCGCACTCCCTCGGTCCCCATGCAGGCTGGTCACCCACCCGCTTACTGATGGCAGTCAGCCATGCCTGACTTCGGTGCTCTACTGGGAACCGTGTCTTTAAGATCAGTCCATTACGGGACTTTTCTTATTTAGAATTTTTTTTAAATGAATGTAAACGTGCATGATCGTATTATTCGATAATTTACAGTTATTAACTGAAAGAAACTGATACAGAATTTATCATTTAAAGTGATAACTTTTTCTTTCTTTTTTTTCCAAAACACTCTTTTACAAAAATTTGGACTCGAACTTAAGAAATAATGAAATACAAAATAAATAAATGCCAAATTAAATTAGAATTAGTACATGGAGAAATAAATTCTGATAAAATTGCTGTATTGTAATGATATTTATTATAAAAGAAAACATAATTCTGGGAATAAAACCAAAATATATGGTATTTAAACCATTCATTTCGTAGATTATTCCGTCCGCTTTACCGGAAATTCAGATTTTCAAAATTATAGTTTTTGTTACAACACATTTAGTAAAAAATACAAAACTAAAAAGTAAATTGAACTAAATAAATGATTTTTATGGTAAGCCTGGTTGTTTTTTACAGAAGCACTTTGGTAATAATTTTAATAAAATTAACAGGAAATTTTTTGTTTTTCAATGCATGAAAAAATTTGACAAATGTAGTAAAATTTGGTAATTTTATCATGATACCTTAGAAGCATGTCATAGAGACCATATATTCGGTTTTATTTACTTCACTGTTTCTCATTTTGTAAACCCAAATTTCGCAAACCCAAATTTTCGGTAAACTGTTACACATGAACGGAATAATTTCCAAATGAGTAGTTAAAATACCGTATATTTTTGTTTTTATTTACCCGAATTATGGGGCATTTTTGCCAGAAATTTCATCCCCATACTGTACGGTAATTTTACCAGAATTTATCTTCTCCGTGTATATAGCGAGTTTTTCGAAAAGAGCAAATAAGCGAACGTTTTTTTTTAATCTCAGAAAACACTTTCTGGAGTTATGTTTATTAATTTTCAAATAAAATTCTATTTCTTTTTCAGCAGAATCATTACTTTTCGGATGGGTAATAAATCCAACCATGGCTAATCCTCATCTATTATCAAACGGAATGAACTCTCTTGAGAACGGTTGCTTCAGACATACCTCAGACAGTCTGACATTTGCAAGTGGCCCTTGATTCATTAAGACACGAGTTCTCTACTTAATAAATAGGCGTGTAGGCCTACTTATTTTTATCTTTGGTAATGAGTTTTTTTTTTTTCCTTTTTTTAAATCAAAAAACATTAATATCGCCGATTATATACAGAATTAATGCTTTTTCTCTGTCTGATTTATTTGATTTAAGTGGTAAAAAAATCTTTACTTTCGATATTTTTTTAATACAATTTGCATGTAAGGCTAAAATCCAATCTCTAACTGTTTTCGCGGTTCAGGTTGTTTTTTGCATGTAAGTTATGGTAAAAAATATTGTGAAAGGAGCAAAGAGAAAGATTTTCGCCATTATTTTTCAATTATATATATATAAGATNTATATATATATATAAGGGGCTGCAAAGACAAATCTTAAACTCTTGCAGAGTGTTTATAACAAAACCCTCCGCTTCAGGAACAAAAATATCCGTAATGACATCTGTACGCCTAATCTTCTTGACTTATACAAAAATAGATCTCTTAAGTATTTTCTTAAGAGCACTGGACACTCCAATCCCCTTATTTGGTCTTTCTCTAACTACGACCCAGATGACCCTAAGTGCGGGAGACAGCCTAAGGCCATTCTCCATTACTATAAAAATCGTCAAGACATCGTTTGAGTCGTATTACTGATTTTTCTGTCCCCCTGACTGGCTCCTCTATCATCATTGCCCTTTTCCACCTTCTTGGGTAGGCCCAATTCTTCGCGGCTCATTCTGATTCAATTTACTAATACTTCTGATTCAATCACTAACTGCTTTTTGTCAGTAATTATAAATAAAAAAATAAATAATAATTAATAATAAATAACTATTTTTTTTAAAGAACTGATGACTATATTTGTTTGTTTATGTTTTTACCTGACTGTGTTATCCCTGATTGCGACATTATGTCACAACATATTTCATATACTAATGAATAGAAATTGTATTTTTGTAGTGGTTGGCACACTACAAAGATAATAGTTAAATTATGAAGAAAAAAAACTTAGCGATAATTATAATAAAAGATCAGTGATACCCCTTAATATGTAATTAAAAAAATACATGTTAAGTGGTGGTACGGAACGCATTAATAAATTTTTTTTAAATAATTCACCTTAATGTTTAGACAATAGCTTAGTTTAATTAAAACAAGTTCAAGTACACACCTTTGCAAACTTGTTCGCAGTTGTCCTGTGAGGAGAAGTTGTTGTCATTTCCTCTACAACCTCCATAAATGAACTTTTCACATTCTCCGGTCTGCTTGTTGTAGTAGTATCTAGGGAAGTATCCTCGGCAAGGTCCAGTCTTTTTCTCTTGCTCGCACAACTCAACCTTGGGGGCTACCAAAGCTGAAGTAAAAGAAAAACCTATCATGTCAATCTAAACAACTGTTTTTTAGAAAGTTTTGCATTACAAACAGGAAACTGTAAGAATTTGATAGAAAATGTGAAGTCGATAAAATGATTGGTCATTTAACCTTTTCTAAACAGTGTTTTCTGAAGTTCTTACGCCAATTAAAAAAATTTTTTAAAGTTAAAAGTGGAAGTTAAAGCTATATATTTCAGACTGTATATACAATCATGCCGTAAAGAATTATCTGAGCTTTAAAACAAACAAATAACTTAAACATTTTAAAACTTTTAACTTAAATGTTTTTTAATTACTAAACTTTCTTAAAAAATAAACAATTTGGCTAGATTTTACCCTCTAGATCGAAATCTATGAATAATTCTTCATTTGTTCAAAATAAGAGCTCATTATACAGAGTGAAAGTAATTTTAAATATTAAAAACTTAGATCAAAAGCACTCTTCATATTCACAAAAATTGTGGTTTCCCTTCTTATTTACGTTTTGCGCCATATTCATTAATAGCATAGAGGGTGCAAGTGAAAAATATGCAAAATTTTACCTAACAGTCATGAATAACTGTTGAAACATAAATCAATGATAAAAATAGTATATTTTTCTCAAAAATGCGCTGTTTCATGCAACAACAGATAGTTCGAAAAATTTCCTTAATAATGCAATACAGAAAGCTTTTTTATTACATTGTCTTTATTTGCAACAAATGCAGAGTATGAGGTATTGCATAGCTTATACTTTGCATTTGGTGTTTGGTTTATATACCAATTCAAATCCGATTTTTTTTAACTAACTTTTCACAATTTTTTGCTTGTCCTATAACAAAACCTGAAAAGCAGATTTTTTTTTTGTCTTATTAAATTAAATTTTTTATCAAACTCAACTTTTTCTTTTAATTATTTTACATGTGTTTAAGAATAAATATCAATATAAAAATCGTTTATTATTTATTTTTAACTTTCTCTTAACTAATATTTTAAAAAGTCGTTTAATTTATTATTTTTAAAGAAATAAAACTTAAATATAATCGAAAAGTTTTTTAAAAAATATTTTAGGATGTATTATATGTAATTTATAATGCATCATTATGATAATTAAAAAATCCAAAGTAATTATTTTCAGCAGCAAGTTCGTTTTAATTACATTCCTTATTACTCCATGTACTTTCTTTTTTTTCACTTCAAAAACATTACAAAATAGGTATTTATTCAAATACTCAGGTAATATATATTTTTTCTACAATAAAAGCTTAGAATAAAACATAAACACTGTCAAAACTTTCTTTCTTGCATTTTCTCTTGATGAAAGAGAAACTATTCCCTTTCCGAATTTTATGCCCACAATAAGACTAGAAGTAACAATCATTTTGTATCCAAGAGAAAAACTTTCTTAAACAAATTATAACATTGACGACACATAATTACGGCCTAGATAGCAGGCAATCGTTGCATTTTCATTTTTCTTCAGTTGGTAGAAAAGTTAACTATTTTATCCTTCTTTTTAAATTTAGTAGAAATATTAGTATGCCAAACTGATTTCCTTAAAGACTGAATAAAAGCATGTAAGAACCTTCACAAAAAATCTCATTTCTTAGCTTTTATAAACAGGTACTGTAAACCTGTACATAAAAGATAATAAATGAGGCCTAGTTTTTGCCTTCTTTTTATCATTCTAGCTTTGCCCAAGCTCTCAATTGCAGCATTTTGATTGTGTTGAAAACTTAATGATCAGACTAACCTTCACTTTTAAATTGTTAAAAAATTATATAAAAACTTGCGCAATTAAACCTTGTTTTAATTATGGTTATAAGACCTAAAATAAACCTTGAGAAGGGAATTTATCCTCGGTTTGAGAACGCTTTTCTTTCTTGATTTGCAAACGAGGATTAATCTTCGATTTCAGAGGGTTTTTCAACCCTTGTTTAGAGAAAGCACATTCAATCTCCATATAAAAAGGTTGTTTATGCAGGCTTTCTGCGAAGCTCATAGCGCGATAACTGGCATAGTTAAATTTAACATTGTTTAAAGCTTCCGTGGTTTATTTGCTAGTCATTTACAAACCTTATTGGACATTGTAATGAACGGTGTTGATGACATTAAAATTAACCTTACATTGCTATCTGGGAGAATAATAAAATAACTATGATGTCATTGCGTCCACATTTGTTGTTGCATTCATCTTCAGTGGCGAAGTTGTTTCGGTTTCCTCCACAACCACCGTAGATGAACTTCTTGCACATACCCTCTTCTTGGTCGTAATAATAACGGGGGATGTAAGCAGAACAGAAACCGGGGTCAGCCTTCTTGTCACAATCTGGGCGATCTAAGGCTCTTTGAACTGAGATAGAAAATGTAAAATAAGTCGTTAATATAAAACAGTGCACTTTTAAAAAAATTTCATGATCAAACTACGGATAAAAACTACTAACACCCTGACTGACTCATCGGTAAAATGTATTTTACCATAAAATTTATTTTTATCCTAAAATTTTATACCCTATACTTTACAGTAACATTTATTTAATTACAGTGATTTTGCAATAAATGTTACGGTAAAAATTACAGCATATCAATTTTTTTTCCTTGAAATTTTAAGGAGAAAATTATTACAAAAAGTACCGGCAGCCTGAGTTCTGGTGCTTTTTGTCATAATTCAGGGTGCGTAGCGTTTTAAAAAAGTGCTTAAAGGTTCTTATTTTCGTTTTTTAAAGGTACTTATTTTACCCTTTTTCAAAATGAGATTTTCCCCTTACTATGTTGATTTTAGCTACGAATTCTGCAAAAAGACACAGTTCACATTATTCTATTCAATGTTTTCACAATTAATTTAACCCCAATCTATTTCGGCGTCCCTAGCGTATGAAAACGCCATTCATTTTACATGATTTTTGATAATTGTCTAAAACAATGCCAAAAGATTTTTTTTTTTTTTGACATGACGGGTAAAACCATCAATTATCAAAAACTTTCCAACCCTGTCTAACTATGATATTTTTTTAGAGTGCTTAAAAATATTTTTCGAGTTCTTAAAAGGTGCTTATTTTTTGTTGAATAACTTGGCTACGCACCCTGTAATTGGATCAGGAATTTTTTACAGTGTAGTATCGCCTTACACATAAATAAAATTGTTAATCTTTAATTAAAAAATTGGAACTTCATTGCTTTTCATTCATTAAAGCCATTTGTTGTAGAGCTTTTATGAATACTAAGTTTGCTATAAAATTTATTCAAAATATTAGGTTCTAGGTAATTAAAATGTAACTATTAAGAAATTCAGCAAATATTCAGCATATGATAAGCCATATTTCAAATCAATCGGAACTAGCGTTATCAGCGGAAAAAAACACCTCGATTTCATAGAGGTAAAAAGATGTTCTGTATGGCTTCGTTAAGTTTGTGACAAGTATCATTTTAAATATTTAGACAAGTTGAGCATTATATTTAGTCAATCCATAATTAATCATAAAACATTGTTTGGATAGTTATTTCCAAACAATGTTATGATAAGTTATTTTCCAGAATTTTTCAAAAAAAAAAATTTTTTTTCCAAAAAAAAAAAAACTCTTACTTCCTAAGCTAAAATTATTTAGAAAACTTTTTTTGAATCAGTATGGTAATATATGTATTAAAGAAAATACACAGTCCAGTCACAATAATGTAACCACCTGTCAAAAGCCAGAATAACCACCTTTGGCAGAGCGAACCGCTGTGAGACGTGCAGGAAGAGAGTCAATTAGGTTTACTCTTGGGAGCCCCTTGGTTCATCTGGGCTGTCAATTGCTCAACAGTTGCACGTCTATTCGTCCAAACCCATCTCCGTAGCCTTCGTTCGCCTCTGTCATCTATAGTCCGTGGTGCACCACATGTGCCACGCCGCTGATTTTGAATAGTGCCATTCTGCCATGCACGGTATACTTATACCACGGCGGCGGGCGACCAGTTCACAAAATTAGCCATTTCCGAAATGCTTCCACCCTTATCCCGAAAGCCAATAATCATGGCTTTCATGGATAAATCGCTACGTTTCTGCATTATGTCAACAATTGAAGTGCTCTCCGATGCCCTAGGACATCCTTTATATACACTCCACTGTAATGTGCTGCCACCTGCTTTCTGTGATTGGTTATTTCGCGTTGACGTAGAAAGTAGGTGGTGGTCAAATTAATGTGACTAGACTGTGTATAACAATCTAATTCTAATTATTTTCAAAAATCTAACTCATAATAATGAATTTATCAATACGTCTTTAATCCATACGAGATGATCCTCTCTTATATTGGCATTAAAAAAATTTTGTTGTTGATGATAAAATGAAAAGTTACCTAGACAAGTATTTTCGCACTCTTCAAGAGTAATGAAGTTGTTTCCGTTGCCACCGCATCCACCGTAGATGAATTCTTTGCATTGACCAGTTCTCCTGTCGAAAGCATATCGATGGAATAAACCATAGCACGGACCTCTTTCAGCGGTCAAGAAGCATACACCCAAATTGGTTGAGGCTAGAGCAATAGAATTAGCATGCTATTTCAAAAAGGCTTGTTTATTTTAAGTAAATGTATAAATTGTATAATAAAAAATACATATTATTATGCTAAGTTATTCTATTGTTAGCGTTCATTTTTCGTTACATAAATTTGGGCAATTACTACTTTAGAAATTTCAATTCTTGCATAAATATAACACAGATTTTATTTAAAAGACACAGGATGATACAAGAATAGGTAAAAGGATCAACACCATAAGCAAATCAATACTGTTAGAATTTTCATCCTGAAATTACGTTGAAATAACCAGCAGCAGTTTGTCTGTCCTGTTAGCCATAAAATTTATAGTTAAGAGCATTTTTTACCTTTACAGTTTTGAAATTGTTTGCAATTGGTTCGGTTAAAAATCCTTGAATGCAAAACTATAAGGTTTTGTAACCATTTACAGCAAGCACTGTTTCTAAACAATAAGTTTAAAACTTAAACAGACATTAGAGATCTATAGTGGCTGCGTCATTTATGCGAGAATGATAGTTTCGCATTCTAATAATCCAGGGTCAAAGATTGAAAAATGCAGGACAGTGGAACATCTATACGCATTGAACAAATTGAGGAAATATTGTGGTGTCTATGCTGAGATTCGAACCCTTGTTCTGTCGGTCATGAGATTGACCGATTAGCCCTCTCAGCTACAGTATGTGTCCAACAGCACAGAACAAAATAGATTTATAATGTTTACCTAGTTGGTGCAGATAGAATTCCGGTTGATAAACCGTATTAAGTAAAAACAATAAGCATTTTTTTTTCTTTAGCTCAACAGTGTTAATATCTTCTTTTTTATGGTTGTTTGATTGTTCTGGTTAAATAGGGTGAAATAAAAATGAAATAAATTGCTATTTAACCATTTTTACCTAGAAATTTCTAACAGTTTATGACCCTTAAATATAGAAATCAGTTATTCTACTGCTGATCTAGCTAATAAGCAGAATAATTAAATGGATCTGTTAAAGTACCAATTTTCTTTTATTTCTGCGAACTGCCAATCTGCGAACTACCTAGATAGTTTATACATTACCTACTATCCTCTCGTTAAGGTGAAAATAATATCTTTATTGGAATAACAGCAACGTTTCTGAATGAGTAAATTAACAAGATGTATTCATTTATTTTTCATTACTTAAATAATAAATTAACTACAATTGAACCCATTAAATGAAAGTATGAATTACCAATTACCTCAAAAACTACAATACAAGCAATAAAACGGTTTAAAATATTATTACAATTGAGGAACTTAACATATTGTAATATATTTGTTTTCAATGTCTAAGGAATAAAGTTATTGAGAACAATAAAACAACCAAAAAATTAGTTGACAAAATGAGATAAGCAAACTTTTGAGCTTAGCGATTTAGAAACCGCTAATGCTTGAATTACCTAACAAACAACGAAAAACTCTCGATTCCGCACTTTACTGGATTAGCATGGTTAAACTGCATATTAGATGTGCATTTATAACATTTTCCGAACTTTAGCAGTAACATAAACACTATAATATTTCATTCAATCATATTCAATAAAATAGTGTCATCGTCTCCCTCTTGAAAAGTGCAAAACATCACTTACGAAGTCCTTAAGGGGCTATAAGTATAGAACCAAAAGTGACTTCTAGAAGCGTAGAACTACAAGTGACATCTAGAACTGAACTATATTTAAATTATTTTTATAGAAAACTTTTGAAGCTAAACATGAGCATGCAGTTAATGACATAGTACATATCAATGAAAACATTCACTAATGTTAACATGATAACTTCAATTTTCATTCAAGTGCTCTGATAGTTTAATATATCTTTATGTAGTTTTCTTTAAATGAAATATTTCCTTTTTTAAATAATTTTTACAAAATGGCAGCATATTGCGAAAAAATGACATAAGTGTCAAAACTAGTGATTCAATTAATTGAAAGTAGAAACTACAGCTTCAAAAATATACCTTATCTGAGACAAATATTGGAATGGTTACAATATTCGCATTTTTAAAATTTTAAACATTTCAGAAGAAAACTTATGAAGTCATATAACATGCGACGATGAAAGAGGTCATAACTTATATTTATCGATATTAAAATATATCAATAAATATGACATTAAACCAAGAGCTAATCGCATAATGGTAGACGAAAGTTGCGTTAACCCGAAGCTGACATCACTGAAATGGTAAACGAAAACTCAAAACTCCAAAACTCAAAACTATCTCCAAACCATGGGCTTCCGATTCTACACCTTAATCATAAAAACATTGATCATCGTTTTAATAAACACCGTTTTAAGTTTGTATAAGTTTGTTCTGCATATACATTGTTAAAATTTTAATTTATTCGATTGAAGACTGAAACAGTTATTTTGCCACCCAGTGTAATAATAATCATTTTGAATAAAACACCATTTTAAGTAAGTTCAAGATAATACCTTGTCATACGTAGTTAAAATATAAAGTAATTTGGTTGAAAACAAAAAACCTTTTCTTGCAGAATGTATGTAAAACATTGTTTTAAGGAAAACTATTCTAAGTTCGCAAGTTAAGTGTGTATGATCGTAAGTATGTATGATCAGAAACAGTAAAATTTAGAAAATTTATCAATACTCGAGATATATTTTAAAAATTATTAGCAGTCAAATTTAAAAAGAAAAATTACCAGAACAAGTTTGTAAGCATTCCTCTTCAGTGTCGTATCGGTTACCATTACCTCCGCATCCTCCATAAACGAATCGTTTGCAACTGCCAGATTTGCTTTCGTAATACCAAGAAGGAAAGTAAGCATCACACACGTCAGTTTCAGGTTCCCCACTGCATGACTTTTCAATGGCTAATTTATGAGATATTAATAATATGAATAAAATAAAATTCTTTTCAACAATAAAATTGTATTAGGACATTTTTATTAAAAAAGTCACTAAATATAAATAAATAATTTTCTTCTATTAGAATCTTAACATAATTCGTGCTAGATGCTGTAAGAACTTATTACAACCGTATCAATATAAGGTAGCAATCTTTGTACATTTACACAATACAAGCAATACTAGAAGTACCCATTTGGGTTGCGGTGGGTTCAAACAGAGTTCCGAAAAGTGCAAGACCGGACTTGGACTCTTTAGCGGAAAGGAGCCATCATACTCATTAAATTTTCTTATGCCTTTTTACAACTTCCAAAGTAAACAAATATGTAAAAATCCGCTTTCTTCAATTATTAAGAATAAAAAATCTTCATGAAAGTTTTAAATGTTAAATAAAAATTTTGCAACATTATATTAGTAATTTAGTAATCTCAATAAATTATTTACTTTGACTTCCCCTTCGCAAATTTTGGCCTTATATCATCTAAAATTTTCGCCTTAATCTGTCAGATTAAATATCGAACTTTTACGGTTCCAGGTACGAAGCCCTTCGAGGGTATGGACCTCAAAATACGAACCCGAATAGAAAAGGTCTTCTGTAAAAATAAGGTTCGATAAAAACAACAATGAAAATTTGTATAATAAAATTGTAAAATATTATATAACATTTAATTTCTCAAAATTTCATATAAACAACAATTCACGTCAAAATTGAAGAAAATCCCGTACCAGTGCAAGTTTGTAAGCATTCCTGCTCAGTGGCGTATCTGTTACCGTTACCTCCGCATCCTCCATAAATGAATCGTTTGCAGATGCCAGATTTGGTATCGAAATACCAAGATGGGAAGTGACCTTTGCACACACCAGGTTCAGCTTCACCACTGCATGATTTTTCAACGGCTAAATATTAAGATATTTTTAATGAGAATAAAATATTTCGATCTGATTATTTAAAAAATGCTGCAAAGTTTTAAATAATGTCTTGTGGATTTATTTGATCTACTCATAAATTGCATGAGAAAATTTCACGAGACATAACAGATTTCTAGCTTAACAGATTACTACTTTTTTTGATTAAAAAGGACTTTTTATTTTTATATTACATTTTGATTACATTTTAATATTGTATTTCTTTTCTTTTTTTAAGTAATTTTACTACTCGACAGAATTTTTATTTCGGAAGGTGGCTTATTTTAAAATGGGAATTTGCAATAAATAAAAATTGAACTCTAGGCTTAAATTATTAAAAGAGCTTTAAAACGCATTTTAAATATAAAAAGCTAATAAAAATACCTAACAACCAGTGTTTATAAAAAAATAATTGCTTCAAGTGCTATTAGATCTTTGCAGATATAAATCCATCGAAAATTTTTCGAACACAATTTACAAAACTTTTAACAATTTCATGCAAATTTCTTATGTTCACCTGTTTGCATGAGCTTTTAACTCTTCAATAGTTTCACAAAGGCAATTCACAATATATTCAGCAACTTCAAAAAAATAGGCTCAATTTAATTGTTAAGCAATAACATGTTTTCGGAACAAATTTAAAAGATTTTTAATAGTCCTACCTGAAAATTACTTTAGTTTGATTATCTCATTAAATATACAAAATTAATTAACTTCGTTCGATATTTTGCCACAAACATTTGTTCTACTTAACAACAAAACTCGATTTGTAAACATGTCTATCCAACTCGTATTTAACAATATTGTACTAGTGGTCTTTATAAAACTTTAGTAAAACCAATAATTATGTATAGAAGCGAATTCTGAACAAAGATGAAGAAAATATGTTATTAATATTCGAACGAAAAATAATTATTAAAAATAGTTAGTGCAATCAAAGAAAATTATGTCCAGAGGATCCGTTATAGTAACAAATTTTACACCTAATTCAACGAACCAAATATTGTGAGAACTATAAAGGTATAATATTGTGAAAATATATCAATTAAGATGGCATGGATTTATCTACAAATACAATTAAAGTCCAACAATAAAGGGACATTTTAAAACTGTGAAGAAAAAAGGAGGAAAGATAGACTAAACCCAAGATGACGTGATACAGTTGAGAAAACGTTGCATGAAATTGGGTTTAACCATTAAAGAAATGTGGCGATTGATAATTTCCGATGGACGAGACAGCCTTGTTCTGCAGCAGGCTGTAGAGCTGAAGAAGAAGAAGAAGTACTGGTGTTAAAGTAAAACGAAGTTAAACATTTAGATTTTGTGCAAGTAAACGGCTACATAGACTATATTCCAAGATATAAAACTATTTTTCATACAATCATAGCATTATGACTATTATCTTTATTCTCATATTTATGAACTCATTAAAGCTTATATTTATGAACTCACTAAAACTCATATTTATGAACTCATTAAAACTCATATTTATGAACTCCTTAAGTTAAATATTGGGTTTATATAAAAAGGCGTTTTTTTATTAAAACCTTGATATATGTTTACCTTGAGCTGGGCAGTGTTCTGGCAATACACAGCTACCATCCTTCAAAACGTAACCTTCATCGCATTTGCATCCGATCTTGCATACAAGAATACATATCTTGGGTGGGTTTAGGTAGTTCTCACATGTCAGTGGACATGCTGTGCCACATGTTGTGTAGTGGGAGTTGGCAGGACAATCCCTGACATTGAAGTCTAAAGAATAAAATATCAAAGGTCTTTAATTTTAGAGATAAGTGTTACTGGTTTTATTTTAAAATCAATGTAATAAGAACTTATAATAAAAAGTTTCACATCTTAAAAATGCAGTTATAATTGTGTGGTTTATGTTTAAAAATTAAATTTAAAAAATAATTAAAACTCTTTTAAATTTTGCTACAAATGTTCATCATACAAATCATAGTTCAATGTAATAGAGATGCAACATTTAACAGCTACTTGTTTTTTAAAAAAAGCGACAGTATTGAGATAAGTTTATCAAAATAATTGTATATGAAATATAGCTTTAATTTAAAATGATAAAGTAGACATTTTTTTAAACTCTTCACAATTTTTCTGGCTTTGAAAATTATAGTTCGTAATACCACATATTTAGTAAAAAATACAAAACTGTAAAGTAAATTTGACCGAATAAATGGTATGCTCTATGATATCATAATAAAACTGCCAAATTTTACCTCATTTACCAAATTTTATCCCATAGCATCAAACCATATGTTATTGTTAAGCTTACCAGAAACATTACCAAAGCACATCAGTAAAAATTACCGAGCATTTTGGTGTTCCCATAAACCAAAAACACTATAAATTTTACCATATTCTGGTGGTTTTAACTGTACTTTTTTTCTCAGTGTAATTTCATTATAAACTACGATAAGAAAAAATGAGCATTATTTTAGCAGTCTTCTTAATTTTAGGAATAGTGCCTAACTAAAATACCGTTTCTACGTGCTTTACCAATATTTTTCATTTTAAATTTATTTAAAAGGAAATAAAATTATGGAAAATATGTCTTACAAAATAGTTTTAAAGAGTTTCAATACCCCTCCCAAAAAAATTAAAGCGTTCATCCCCTCTTTTACATGTTATACCCTACCCAGTTAAACCAGAGATAATTTTAATGAGTTTTTCCTTAATTTAATATTTTGTGATCGTTAGGTTTTGAGTTGAAAAAAAAATTAATTTAGCTGAAAGGAATACTCTTTTAAAAGTAAAAAACAAAAATATTAAAGTATAAAATATATTTGTTATAAATAAAAGCAATAAAGTATGAAAATGAAAACAAACTCTGACAAAAAGCATCTGCGCAGAAAACTATTTTTAAAAAACATATTCTTCCGCTTAAACAAAACATTAAAAATTATCCACGCTATATGTTAAAAAAATATTCCCCAAACTATTTATTATCCAGTTATAAAACTTATTAAAAGTGCCCTTTTCCCCTAAAATGGTTTTAACCTCAGAGGAGTATCTCCTCTAACATCTCCTCTAAGGCTATTACCACTTGCCTGTCCTCTATTTTTCCTCCTTTTAGGCACCTCTGACTGGAAGCACGCTGTAAATGTTTCATGTTTTATTTCAACATATTTTCTTCACTCTCTTCAACTAATAATCAGTAATGGAGATAATTTACGAAATACTTAATTTTAACTTCAAGTAGTTTCTCATGCAGAATTTATGTAAGCAATCCCTTACCGCATCATTGCTTTTTCAAAATAATTAATAACGACTTGTAAAATTTTTCTTATTTTTCATAATGAACAATAGCTTATAGATACTCATAAATGATAAAAAATTTTAAAATCCTAGAAGAGACCACCTCTTGGCGACTTTTTGAAATCTTGCCAAGTTGGCGATTATTAATGGGATCAGCGCTCATTTTTGATAAATAAAATACAATTTATTCAAGCAACATTAATAATTTATTTGAATAATTAACGATTTATTTACTCAAATTCCCTGAAATATCTTCCGTAGTTTGGCAAGATTTTAAAAAATAGCCACAAGGTGAGCTATTCTAAGATCTACTCTAAAAATTTAGATGATTATTTATCGACAATAAAATCCTTATTGGTATCATTTCTAATTTTAGTCCCTTAAACAATTATAAGCACATAATTATTAGTCGGAATTTTCTAAAACTATTTTTGACAATTTTTCTTTACTTAATATTACCGATACATACCGCTAAAAATTCAAAAACGGTTAGCTTTATAAAAAGAATAATTAAGTACTATAATAATAAATTTCAAAATTTAAAATTTTATGCTCAGTGATATTTTTTTCGAATAGTTTTCTTAAACAAAACTATTCGAATGAAAGTGTTTAAATTTTGCTATCGTATACCAACATGCCTAACACAAACGTAGACACTATTGTTGTTGCTCGACAAATAGTCATACAAATAATTTTCAGAAATTTCCTATAATTAATAATGTAGGATAATAAATGGTGTAAGAAATGATTGTATTATAAAAAGTAATATGCCAACATGCATGTTTACTATTACACAAATAAACGCAAACAATTTTACATAAAATTGTTCGAAAAGTGTGATTAACAGAATGAATGCGAGATGTTATGAATCAGCACCTTAAATATATATTTTAAGAATGTTTGTAAAATAAAAATCTAATGAAATTGTAAGAGATAGTTATTTAAGTGGATATTTAAGATATTTAAGTGGAAAGATAAATGGATTCAAACTCTGGTGAATCATAATCGAGATCGATCACTGAAATGAAGAAATTAAAATTAATAAAAAAAACAACTCCTTTTAAGCAAACTTATTTTACAAAGATACTTGATGAAGCGCATTTCAATGTGACCAGGTAGATAAAATATATTTTAATTATTTAAATTCCTTCGGTGCTCTAAAAGACCTCAATTATGATTCGTCAAAATTTGGATATCCTTTTTGGTTCTTTTTTCTCCATTTAATACGAGTATTCTAATAACTTCTACATCTAATACGAGTAAGTTTTCTGCATCTAATACGAGTATTTGTTCTAAAACTATATGTTATGGGTATAAAATAACAAGTATTTTTTTAAGGTATGTAACTATACTGCTACACAACTTATAGTGTTTTAAAATTAAATAACAATACCCTTAGAATAGTTTTTAAAATACTTTCGTTATCGTATGGAATTGTTCAAAGCTTATGATCAAAGAAGCGTGCTCAAAACTTCCCGAATATGGTAAATTTTACCATATTTCTAGCTGTACGGGAACACTAAAAAATTGGGTTACCGAAGCGCTTTAGTAATTATTTTCGTAAAATTACCAATGAAATATGGTTTTATAATCTGAGATAAAATTTGCCAATTGTAGTAAAATTTAAGAATTTCAATACGATAATTTAGAGCATTGTATAAAAACCATTTATTCTGTTAAATTTGCTTTTTAATTTCGCCTTTTTTAGTAAATGCGTAGTAATTATAATTAAAATTTTGAAGACCAGAATTTCCGGTAAGTCGTAACCAAATAAACGGAAAAATTACCAAATGAATAGCTTAAATTCTGTATGTATTGGTACATATTTTGGTTCATATAGCGGTTTACCAGAAACTTTGGTTTGCAAAATTGTATTTCTTACCATCAGATATTTAGTAAAAAACGCAAAATTGAAAAGTAAATTTAATCGAATAAATGCCAATATGTCAATGCTCTGAGAAGGTGTTTCCCAAACTTATGACTTTTGCGTACCCTTTCTAAATTTTTCATAACGGTGTGTACCACTAATGAAAAAATTAATGTATTTCTTACCATAAAAAATAGCACAAAGTGAAAAATCTCAACTGGCTGTTGACACCACTAATTATTAACTGTTAACTCTGCAAAAAATAGCCAATAGAAAAATACGTAATCGTAAATTTTCATGTCTAGCTTTGTTTTTAAATACATTTTTTTTGAAATTTTCGTTTGTTGCAAAATATTTCGTATAAGAACGCGTACCCCCGCTAAACTGTTCCCGCACCCCTGGAGGTACGCGTACCACACTTTGAGAAACACTGCTCTAAGGTATCGTGATAAAAGTACCAAATTTTACCACATGTACCAAATTTAATCACATATTATAAAACCATATTTTATTCTTAATTTTACCAAAATCATTACCAATAAGCTGAGATTTTTGGTGTTAACATACAGTTGGAAATGCGATAAATTGTACCTTATTCTGGTAGTTTTGGCCATACTTTTTTCCCCAGTCGGCAGTTATCTACATGCTTATAAATTCTTTTTAAAGTAAAGAAAAATATACTTTCCTTTCTATTCAAGTTCTTTGACTCCTCAAAACAACTGATGCAAAGATGTATAAATTTCAAATTTAAGTTAACATCACTAAACATCTCCTCCTTTTTCGATATTTTTTTAGTTAAATAAGTTTAATTCCTGGGTTATATTCACATAAATCAATCATAAATCGTTGCTCCTGACCTACCCCTTCTGATTCCATGATGTTGTAATACTAATAAGAACTCTTAAGCGTCATAGGTCACATGAAAAGTGGGGGAGTTTGATTGGATAGAATGGATTTTTTCTTCTTCCTTTTTTTAGGTATTTAGAATAGGTCTCTTACAAAATTAAGTTAAAAGCAATCGTTATTTGAAATGTAAAATTCCTTAGCGATTACTTTCTTTTTTAATGAAAATTGTTTACATGTCAATTCAAAATGCATTGCAGTTACGATATTTAGGTGCATAAAATCTTGTTGACTTAAGTAAGTAGTTTTCGGTTCTAAGATCTTTCTTATTTATTTTTAATATGTTTTAAATTTATAAGCTCAATTTTTATTGAAATATTCACTTTAGCGAGTTACTGAAAGTAATTGTTAAATTGAGGTAGTTTAAATTGTATAAGTTCAATTGTTATTAAAATATTCACTTTAACCAGTTACTGTCAGTGATTATTTAATCATGATTTTTTACGTATTTAAAATCACTACTTTTATTAAAATATTCATTTAAGTAATTATTAACTCGTGATTTTTTTTTTTTTTTTAGTTCAATTTTAATTGAAAATATTCATTTTAACAAGTTACGCGTAGAAAATCATTAAATCGTGATATTTTAAATTTATAAGTTAAATTTTTATTAAAATATTCATTTTAAGCAGTTACTGTAAGTAACTATTAGAACATTTTTAAATGCTTAACTTAAGTTCAATTTTTACTAAAATATTCACTTTATCTA